ATCAGCGCGGCGGGGCGGGCGGCGCGCGGAGAGCCGGGGCGCTGTGCTGCCCCCCAGCGGCCACGGCCGGAACTGTCGCCGCCCGAAACCGCCCCGGAAATGTCGCTGCCACCCCGCGCGGGAGCCAGAGAGCGACACCCGGATTTTGTCAGCAGGGTTGGCCTTAGACGTCAACGTTGAAAACCTTCCTTTCCATTAAAAAACAAAAAACCCACCCCCCAAAAATGTTTAAGAACCGCAAATGGCTGCCTGCATCGAAAAGGCACCTGTGCTCATGAAATCTGGAGCAGTAGCCCCTTCCACCTCCCAAATTCAACAGGAACATATTCTGGGCAGAAATGGAGCGCTCTTTGTAGGTGGGGCCAGACATCACTCACGGGGCATGGTACATCATGTAGCATCCATGGGGCAGGGAATGAAGCARTGGCATGGAGGTACCCACAATCACTATCAGAGTAACCTTACCTTAAAAAGGGCCAGGGATTCAGAAAGCTGGTGGAACATCACATCCTGTAGCAAGCTGTAACTGCGGACCCCGGGGATCAGAAATCGCAGCACAGACTATTGCATTGGGCCAGATGGGGGCGGGGGAAGGAGGCAGAGATTTCTGCACAACTGCTCAGCAGCAAGTTCCAAGCAAAGGGATCGATGCAGTTGAGCAAAACTCATCGCATTGAAGGATYCACTGAGCTGACCCTGGGAGTGCTTAAAAGGAACGAGACAAAAGGCAAACTACAAGCGCTAGAGGAGCTACAAAGTAAACATGGAACAAGTCCCCTGAAACAAGGGAACAGGTATCCATATTCAATACAAACTTACTCCCTACAAAGAGGGTAAAGAGAAATGTTGCAAACCCGGTGAACTGAGATCCCCACCCTACAGCAGCAAGCGTTTTAAAGTCACTTTTCCAATTCTGCCTGTCAGAGAGGGACACAGAGGCCAAATTCACTCYTCCACTAGAAAGGCCACTGAGGGAGCATGCTCTCCCTCACTGGACAGTGCAGAGAGAATGAGAAGTTTAATTCCTGAGTCTTAGTGTGCTTCCTCAAACTGAGAAACCAGATGTAGAGCAACAAAAGAAAAAAACTCAGAAGGATGTGATGCTGACTCTTTGGAAAGGCRTTTTGGAGGCACTGGTATTGCTTAGACTTGCACATAGCCAGAAGGAAGAGAATTKTCATCCTCTGCACTGAATGGAGCAACAGGAAGAACTGCTGTTGCAAAAACCTTACACAGCATAATAGTTTACTCGAGTCTAACCCAAACAGTCTGGCTACTTGCCTCCTCCTTACCTGGAGGTTCAGGATTTTGTAACTTCAGATTKCACTCATTCAGTTAATTCTAGATCCCTAACCACACAAAGCTCCCATCCCAGTCTTTGTATGATATGAGCCCACCCCCTCAAGAAATGCAAATTTCCCAGATTAGGTCAATAGCAACATCCATTTTAAAAAAYAATCACAAAAAAACCCCATTGATTTCTACAACACATGCTCTCCCCAACTCTCATACGGGGTGAGATAAAACATGATCCAGTCAGGTCTTTGGCTTTGGTTCCTGACACAGTTCCCCACGCACTTTGCAGGTGCATTTTTGTCCTGGTCCTTGCTCTTCTTCTCCCCAGGAGGAAAGGAGCACCAAAGGTTATCCCCCCCAGGCACAGAAATGGAGGTGCAGGAACCGCCTACACACCAGTCTCATTTCTTTCGCCGCTTTTCACATTTGGATCCTCTTGCACCTTTCTCATCTCCAGTCCTTTCACCCATGTGTAGGCAAAGGAGCCCCCCAGAACCATCAAGTTACTYGTCCACCACAAGAAGCTCTTTGTCTCCTCAAAGTAGATAACAGCCAGCACTGTTTGGGCACAGGCCTTGGCTGTCCCAGACACGTTGTGGGTGAGTGGGCTAGTGAACTTAATCTGAAGTCCAGTCACATACCCAATGGCAAAGCCAAACACTCCTCCCAGGGTCATCATGCCCCAAAAAGTGGGACTCCCCAGCTTGTCAAAGTGGTAGAGGGTGCGGAACTCGCCCAGCAGCATCATGAGGGGGAAGAACAGGACACAAGCATTGATGTTGTTGTAGAAGGTCAGGCGCCAGATGCTACCATCCACCACAGGCAGCACTTTCTTGGTGTAGATGGCATTGAGAGAGACACAAAGGCTTGCTAAGATCCCGAAGAATATACCTGTCCATGACAGAGTGCCCTCTGCTCCTTCCTGGTCAACACCCAGCCAGAAGCCACCTGCAATCAAACAAATCAGGCATAATCTGAACAACTACGGAAACGCTCAAAATGTAYAGTCAAAAATTCATAATTTACTTTATATTGAACAACAATAACCTGAGACAGGCTTAAGGGCTTCCCGTTTGTGTTAAGTGGACCCACAAAATATCATGACTAATGTCCTGGGAAGATTTATTTTGGGAATGCAGGACATTTAGTGCGCAGGTAATTCAATCTCAGAAGACTATTTCCTACACTGAGCAGGCAGCACGAGTTCAGAAAGTACTATTCCTGCTGTCTTTGCATATAGGTAATTTTCATGAGACCATATTTTTTTTTAATTGAAAAGGCTGCAAACTGACACACAGGTAGAAAAAATGGTCTTCAAAGTTTGAAAAAAACCCTACATTAGAGACTTTGCTCTGATGTTAACAGAAAGGAAAAGATAGGTCAGAGAAGAAGATGGAAAGATGAAGAAGTAAAAATATGGATGTAATATTAAGCATGATAAAAAAAAAAAAAAAATCACAAGGCAGATACTGCAGTATCTTCAACATGTTGATGGGCAAAGCACTCTTTAACTGCTTCCAAAACAGGACCTACAGGCTTTGCGTCTCCAGGGCAAAGAGGGAGACTTCTCCCCCTCCAGCTCACAAGCAAAACAGCAAAACATAAAAGGGAGCTGAAGGAGCACTGCACCATGTTTTCATTAGCTACTTCTTGTYGGAGGTTGTCTGGGAAGTTGCCTGAAAAGCACCTAATATGCTTTAAACTAAGCCCAGATACAAAGGAGTTCAACATAGACAAGGAAGGGCTTTGTGCCATGCCACAGAGGATGCTCAGCTGTGCTATAAGCACACAGGCAATGCTCYCAAGGCAAAAGGAGATGGAGCTAGGAGGACAGAGTCTTAGAGAAACCCTGTAAGGCTGCCAGGCACCACACTCCTGGACAATGCCTGAACAAAAGATTAGCTGAAGGCAATCACTTGCATCCCTTGGGTAGAAAACACAGTAGGTTCTGTTCCTATTCACCTCTTCTATGGAGATGAGATTCTCTTATTTTCATTTGATTCCATCCACTTGTCTAACACTAAAGTGAACATATGCACACCCAGAACCAGACTGAAATCAACATTTCATCATTCTTGGCATCTAAATGGCCCTCCAGTGGAAGGTAGCTTTTGGCATTACTTTGCCTTTGGAATGGAAGACTTGTGAGTGCTCCTGTTAAGCCAGTCAATGCCTTGCCCTACATCCTAACCACACAACCAGATCTTCTGGTGGTGTTTCATGCCTGGCGTGATCAGCTAACCGTTTACACATGCATTCAGCCTATTGTAAGAACCAATTGGTTTGCTCTATTGTACGGTCAGAGCGGTGCTGACATAAATGTTATTGTAACCAAAGTTAATAATCAACAAGGACTTGGGGACAGGGAGAGAAAACCACCTGCTGTTTTATGGCCTATACAGGGGGAAGAAGAAAAAAGGTCAGGCAAGTTAAACCTCACTAGAGGGTAGATAGGTTTTAGGACTCAAAGGAAAAAGGGAACTGTGGTCAAATGAGAGGAATTTCTTCTCTTAACATATTACCTACATCCTCCAGACGTGCAATTTTGGTTGCTAGCGGCAGAGCAAGGCATGAGCCCTGAGCTACCCCACCTCACCAGGGAGCTGCCATGCAGGTGGAGATGACCTCCCAAGGCAAAGACACCCCACCACGGTCTCTCTGGCGCTGGCTGTAGGATGGGTGCAGCCCTTCCTGCCCCCCCTCACCTATGATGACTCCGCAGGCCAGGAGGGCATAGAGGGAGGTGGTCTGCTTGAGGAGGAGGTAGGAGAGCAGCACGTTGAAGACGGTGGTGAGGGAGCGCCCCACATTGTAGAAGGCCACGCCGACGTGCTTGAGGCAGAGATTGTTGGAGGTGACCATGCCGATGAAGACGGCAGAGAGGGGCAGGACGCTGCGGGACACCTTGGGGTCCAGGCGGAGAGGGGGCAGGCCGGCGCAGGGGGACCCGCAGGCCGCCCCCAGGCTGAGGCCCAGGCACAGGGCGGCCGTCAGGGCGCACTGGAAGAAGGTGACGAACAGAGGGGCGTCGAGGCGCAACGAGGGGCTGTCCAGCAGGTACTTGTTGAGGAAGACCATGGCGATGGAGGTGAACCAGTAGAGGCAGACCACCACGGCGATGCGCAGCGCTCGCAGGAGGAAGGGCGCCCGCCGGTCCCCGCCGCCCTCSGCCGGCAGCAGCGGGTCAGCGCCGCCGCCACCCAGCGCCATCCGCAGGATCCGCGTCCGCGTCAGCTGCGCTCTGCTCATGGCGGGCCGGGCCGCCAGCCACGGCCACCGGCCTCCGCCGCCTTCCCGCCGCCGGCCCCGCTCACCCGCCTGCGCCGCCGGCCCCGCTCGTCCCGGAGCGCCGCGGCTCCGCCCGCCGCCCTTTCTCTATTCACGCCCCGCGGGCGCCGCTCGGCGCCGCCCCGGCCAGGCGCCATGTCGGGGGAGGGCCCGGCCGGGCCCCCGGCGCCCGCTCCGCCCCGGGGCTGCGTGGCTGGGGGAGCGCGCTTGTTGCAAAATACGACATTTATAAAAACAATTCCTAAAAAAGGATGTTCTTTGATATTTGAATTTTGTATACTTTGAAGCCTAATCGACTAGAAAGGAGATTTAATCCATGGAACAGAGAGCAGCGAACAAGCAAGCTCTAAGTGATGTCCGAGTGTRAGAAAGACAAATTGCTTGTCGGCAGAATCGCCTTATTAAGGTTTAGGTCTCGACATGTTTCGGTGATTTCAGACCTAGAAGGATGTCAGCAAAGTTTRGGGGGAAGCTGACGTCACACAAAGAATGTAGAATTTAAAAGCCACAGGGACATGTAGCAGGAACCCGAGGGTAAGAAGAAACTAATAAAGGCAGCTCAACAAGTGTGATGACACCAGCTCCAACTGGGTGAAGGATAATTCCAGTAGGAGGAGATTACAATCACTGACTCATGGATCACCAACTCAGGAGGCCCACCAACCAAAAAGAAGAGAAAGACTGTGCATGCGGACTAATTACCATGAGATGTGAGAAAATAATACATTGATAGGAGATAGAATGCAAATTAATTTTTTAAAAAAGTAACTTGTAGCCAATGAATTACCTTTGTTGTGTGGCAAACAAGCCTTTGCTAAAATGTGTGAATAGTGAAAAGAATAGTAGTAGTAATCATGCTGGCCTTSTGGATTTGCCATCCAGTATCCTTTTCTGTGCCGAAGTGTAAATAAATAAAATACCTCAACTCTGTGTGTGGATTGGCATCTTGCACACTGGGTGAAAGAACCTATTTTGGGACARCAGGCAGACAGCAACTGGGGCAGTTGAGTGAGMAACAGTCAGCTGAGAACAGTCCTTGGGCACCCTCCACAGCCAGGAGGGATGGTCTTGCTGTGGGACTGCGAGCTAGGGAAGGGCTGCCACACTCAGTGGTGACTGGCACCATATCCCCCCGGGCAGTGGGTGACAGGAGGGGACTGGTAGTGGTGCTTGTGTCAGAAACAATGCCACTCTGCTGGCTTGTGCCAGCATCCTCTGTGTGCTGGTTGGAGCACGTGGGATCTGGGTGTTGCACATGCWCTGGTTTGCAAGCATGGATTTTTTCCACATCCTTTCAAAAGCACAGTGTGTTCTGCTGCCTAAACCTTCTCTACAGAAAACAGGTTCACATTTTTGTGGAGGCAAATAAAACCTTCCTAACATTACCTAAACGAAGTAGACATGTGCAAGCAATGACAGCAAAGGCAAGGGTTGGTTGCCTAGCTCCCATTCCTGCATCAATAATTTCAATATCCAGCCTGGAGAATGTCTCTSCTAACACCATTAACCTCTCCAGTACTGAGGTGCAGCCCGTGCTGACCTGTGCGTTACCCCACTACATTGTAAGCAATAGAGGGGCTAACTGCTTTCAAAGTAGCCGGGTTATTAGGATAAACTGCACACATTCTCATGCTAAAGAAGTTATTCCACAGTCCCACATCATCTTTCTGGGTATAAAAGACCCATCTGCCCTACTCACATGCCAAAACATCTCACCTTCTCTTAATGGTGCTTTATAATAAAGAAGCCTTTCAATACCAAACTCTGACATGTTGAGAATTCAAACTGCTGAACAGGATGAAATAAATTAAAGTTTATGCCAGATTCCATGTGACAGCAGTGAGGGAGGCAGCAGTGAGCACTGTCAAACATTGGTTAGTATGACACCCAGTCCCTATTTCAGCTGAGATTGCGGTGAAGTGTCTGGTCTGCAATGTCCTGAGGCCCCGCAATTTGCACAGGGCATAATTAAGAGGATTTTGGAGGCAAAGCCAGCAGTGTTAATTGCCCCCAGAGCAGTCTTTTCTGCTCTTACAGCTGGGAAGGACAAAAACATAGTAGAGGTTGTAGGGAGAAATGTGATGTACTTAATTAGACCAGTTGATGYGGCTGGAAAATATTGCAGGCATAACATGCTTTTCTCAAATCTCTGGAGTCACACTTGACTTTTTTGTTCTCCCAGCTGCATTAGTTGGTTTAGTGAATGATGCTGCCTTTCCTCACAACCCTTGCCTTCTAAATAGCATCTGGGTGCTGATAGTACTCATGTTCCCTCTGGGCAAGGGAAGCTGGTGCTGGTGTGTTTTTGCTTTGGACTATCCAGGTGCTCTGCAGGATGATGGAGGGTTCAGGGTTGCACATTGAGCACCATCTCTCACCCCTGCACCTTGTGAGAGCTGCCTGGTAGAGCCCTTGCAGCCTCAAGCGAGTTTTGCCTGCTCACYTTGCCCACCTGCCCGCTCCGCCTGCACAGCCAGGAGAGCCACCCCATGCAGGGTGCTTGCCCAAGCTCACATGGGATGTGACATTCCTAGCTATCCAAGCCTGCAGCTCCTGCCATGGAAACAGCAGAGAATTTGACTCCACAGAGTGGCTGGCATTAAGGCAGGGAAAGCTGCTATTGAAATGACCAGCCAGTGTTCCCTGCAGCTCAGCCACATGTTAATCCTGGTGCTAGAAGTGCAGCTAGCACTTACTTATTACTTCATATCTTGTGTTTCTTCCCATCCACTTCCTTCCAGTGCCTGGCCCAGCACTCCTCTCATAAATGGTGTCAGTCAGGATAAAAAAAAGAAAGCAAACAGCCCAGATATAGGGCACTCGGTTGGTTCCATGGGTCCTCATGGCCTGTTACGTGTACCCGTGGCTTCAGCATGACATATTTGGTGACAGAATATGGCCATATTCCTTGGAATTTCAAGGAAATGACCTCTCCTATCACTAATGTTGCAAAAAGGGCAGTGCCTCTGGCAGAATCAGAGCCAGATATAAATATTTTTTCCCCTTTCTGCCACTTACTAGTGTTGTTCAAAGTGCCTTCTCTAAACTAAACACAGGAGTTGGAGAAGGCAAAAAACCCAGTCCTCAGTTCCATCTTGTCCACTCATTCAGTGCACAGAAGATTGCTTTGGCCTGCAGAAGCTTGAAATATCCCAATCAATAAAATCCTCATTGCTTCTCCTGGGGGATTATTCTACAACCCTATCACACATGTATGGCACGTCTGCATGGGAGAATCGACCAGAATAACTCTCTCAGCTCTGCCAATATAACTCCCAGTGCTGACAGTGTATTCCAAAATAAAAGTGATTTGTTCTCGAATAATCAGGTAGCTCTGTGATAGTTGTGCTGGTCAATCTCCCTAGGCAGAGATTGTCTACAGCATGGCAATGGTTTTGACAAGTGCTTTGAATAAAAGCTTTCCTAGTTGCAAAAACTGACCAGCAGAATTACTCTGCCATAGCTGTGCCTGCCTACATGCATCACAAGGATGCTTTGCTTTGGGGAGAAGGTGGTTTAAAGTTGTAGATTATTTAGAAATTTYAGAGTAAAGGTAGTAATAAATAAGTTATAATGCTAATTGAAGCTGTTTAGACAGTGTAGCCTGGCGTCCTGCACATCAGTCTTAGGCTTCCATGAATTAACTCTTACTTGAATTAAAGCTGATCTTCTATGGAAAAAAATCGACTTTGATTAAAAACACTTCCAGAGACTGAATTTAATAGGGTACTAGCAGTGTTATTCTGATGTGATGTTATTCTATTCCCACTAAATAATTCACACTCCTTTTCATGCTTGGCATTGCCTGGTTCATGTTTTCAACCTCTGGATCTTGTTACAGCTTTGCTGGTTTTTTTACAAGCAATCGATTATGGGCAGATGAAGTTACCTTTTAGCCTTGTTTTTGGAGAAGATAAATAATTTTAACTTCCTTACAGAACATGTTTATTATGGTAMAGCAGCAAAGATTCACTTCCATATGCAGATGAGACCTCAATATTTYCCTGCCCTGCTGCCTGGTTGTGTGTTAACATGGTAGCACATATTGTGAAGGGCCAGCACAGGATTATTCCTGGTTTAGGAGCRTGCTGATTCATGTTCCCCGAGTGCTTACAAAATAAACAATTATCATCAGTGGAGGTCTGAGACTGGAAAATAAGCAGCTTTGACAGGTTTTTCATGTGGGGAAATCTGGCTGGTAGTGTCCTTGCTCCCATGTCTTGTGAGGTGTTTGTGCTGCTGCTGGTGTYTAGCGTGCYTGATACCCTGCCTGCTGCTGGYGTGCACACACACATACATGCACTCCTGCATCTTATTTCTTTCCTATGTGAGCAGAAAACATTTTCAACTTGAAAGATGCTGCTCTTCCAAGGGGAGAGCTCTCCCCACTAGAATTAGGTGACCTACTTGAAAGCATGCAAATCAGCTGCTAGYCAGCAGGATGGCTGATAAAACAGCAATAGGCTTTGGGGTGTACATCAAACCCGGGGTTAGACAGCACAGGTTGCATTTCCTGACCACACAAGACACCTGGACATATTGACCGGTGTGTTCGACTGTAGGGACAGGCCCTTTGTAAGTGATGTAGAGGAGCAAGCCAAGCAGCAGAAAACATTGTCAGTTTTGTTTCTGGGTCTTTAGGAAGGGGCCTTTGGGGTTAGAAAAAGGATTCATTCTACTACCTAGAATGGGACATGGGAAGAAATCTGCTCAGCAGTGAGGTCATTCCAGTGTATTTAAGAATTCATTGTTCTTTACAAGTATAGGTATTCAATTTCCAGTTAGTACAAACATCCTTGATGCTGACATTTATAAAGTATGGAGCATACAAGTCAAGGTAGGACAGGAGAAGGCCAATGCAAAATCTAAGATTGATTTATCAGATCAGAATAGCTGAATCACATCTCTCTCTGCTAGAGTAGTAAACATGAATCTGGGGAGAGARTTGTGTAATCTCTCAGTATTGTCCTCAAGCAACACCTGTTTGTAGCACTGGTGTTACCTGTTACAATACAGCTTTTTTCCAGACTGCCCCAGTTTGTAGGAGG